AGTTTGTGAGCACGGCCGATACAGATTCCGCAGTTTCTTTCGTTTGAGATGCCACTTTGCAGCGCGCTGGAAAGCAAGTCTGGGCTACCCGAGACAGGCCTCCCTCTGCGCGGGCAGCGCGCGATCTTTCTTTTGGCATCACTTGCTCTGTCAAGAAACAGTTCGGCATCACCTACGCGATCGGGGCGGTGGACGAGGAGCCGCGCGCAGCCCGCGTCGGCGGGGCGCTGGCGCTGACCGCCGAGATCCGAGAAGGCGTTCGCGTTGAAGTGGTCGGGAGATTGGCAGGCTTGGACAGAGGTTTGTCGACTGGTGGCAAGGAATGCTTGAACGCTCTCTGAAAGGACTGAGAGGAGCAGGCAAGGGATCCAAAACTGGACCGCGGCAGGCGCCTGCCCGGGCGGGCGCCGGCGCTGAATGTGGGCGCTTAATTGAGCTTCATTTTTCCGAACAGCAACGTTGATGCATTTGGGAGGAGGTCTCCCACCTTCGCCAGCGCCCCCAGAACCCCGCGACGGATGCCATAGCCGTCGCCGGCACGGCTCTGGTCAGCAGTTGGCGCCTCTCACAAATTATGATTCGATCCCGGGGGCCGCGGGCGCGGGCAATGCCGCCGCCGCGACCGCCCGCCCCACGGAGCCGCTCGACGAGCAAGATCGTTGGAGACACCGCTCTGGATGCACATAGGGGCGCAGCAGACGTCGTCGCCAACCGCCGGCAGACCACGCGCTGGCGACGTGGAACGTTGAAGGTTCGGGTAAGAGGGGCGATCGATCGCCTGAGTCATTTCATCATATGACCTGCCTTGGCATTGATATTTCGCGCATCCCAGAGACTGGGGCATCTGCGACATCATTTCATTCACTATGGTTTTGTGGTTATTCTTTCATGCTCATCGGATCATTCTGGAGTCCGTTTCTATTCTGGCGCTTGTTCCATAATTGCACCGTGCGCGGCAGGGGCAGCCGTCGGCTTCAAATCGATATCCGGCCGGCTTGCCACCCTGAAGCGCCAAGTTCACGGTGGGGATCTTCCGGTGATTTGCTTCTGCGCTCCACCTGCCCGATGCAGCATCGAAATGAGGCGTCAGTGATTATGTGTTTTGTCGGGCGCGTGGCAACCGGCCGGCAAGCGCCGCGCCGCAATCGCAACGGGCGATTTCAACCCGAAGCTTCTCGCAAGCGAGCGTGGAGAGGATGCCATCGTCGGCAACTATGCGTTCAAGCGCAGGCGGCCGAAGATACGGGAGAGGACGAACAGGGGGGTTCGTAGATGCCTGCCGGGCCACGCCAAAGCCAACTTCGAGTTGCTCGACGAGAATTTGGCGACGTACTTTTCACCGCAGGTGACTGAGATGGGTGCCGTAGACGAGGTTGGCTTCTCGCAAGTAGATCATTGCTTGATGAATGCTAGCGTTACATATTGGACCCAGGATTTGAGGTCGGACAAAGCAGTCCCAATTGGAACCGGGCACTTTCTGATGCAGCTGCGCTTGCAGTTATCTTTGGATACTTCCGCCCCTGTGCCCCAGCGCTGCTAGATGCGGGTTCCTGACGGGGACTTCATGGGGGACTGCCAGCAAGGGTTTTGCAACGCAGTGGAGGTTATGCGCCTACTTTGACACTGGATCAGCACGCCCCTGACACTTGCGCAGCCGTGCAATCTGCGTCGGAGGAGGTGCTGAACACCTCGGCCAGGAAGCCTCAGGGGCCACGGATAAGCCAATCCACCCTGGATCTACTCACAGAGCGCGATCAAGTCAGGGCCGCGGGCAACTGAGAGAAAGAGACAGTGCTGACGAAACGCATCAGAGCATCTGCGACACTAGACACACAGCGCTGGCTCTACGACAAGCTTGCGAGAGGTCTGCGGGCAGCACTGCGTGAGCTCCGGAAGGGGACGCCCAAAAAAGCCAGCGCAGATGCGCAACGCAGCAGGGCACCTTGCGGGGAGTTGCTTGCAGGCAGGCACAATGACAACTACTTCTAACAATTGCAATCGAAGCTCGCGCATCTTGACCCTGCGCCAACTGGAACCCAGAAGATTGGCGATATATTGCCGATTGTCACTTCTCCGTTCAGCACGATCGAGCGAGCCGACGACAGTCCTGCGCACTCTTGCCGCCGGAAAAGCATCGGGGATAGATGGAGCTCCGCCTGGGACATGCAAGATGCCGCGGGGATCCCTGGAGGCCACGGCAAGCTTGCTGAAGGCAGACCTAGATCGACCCAATTCGGAATCAGACCAAAAAGAGGCACCGTGCAGGCGATCCCTATGGCCCCGCGCATGTTCGAGGCGGCACATGCTTCGGGACAAGTGGCAGTTCTGTTGGATTGGACGAAGGCGTTCGGCGGAATGGTGCACGATGTCACGATGCAGGCATTGCGGAGATTCGGGATACTGGATTGTTTTGTAGACTTGGTTGCTGGCATCTATCGAGAGCAGAATTTCGGTCTCCCAGATTCATCTTGGGATTCAGGCGTTCGCCAGCAACGCGCCGCCATCGTGCAAGGCTGCCCACTGCCACCATTTCTCTTCATCATAGTTCAACTTGTTATGTTCTTCGATGTTGATATGCGCATGGGGGGTGCGCGCCCGAGAGTCCAGGATCCAGATGGCACTCAGCGTTCTGATTTTCTGTGCGCGGACGACGCGATGCTCACCAGCAGCTGCGGTGAGAAGCTTCAGAGCTTGCTCGACGCGGTCACCGATGAGGGGGAAGAGGTGCGGTCTAGAGCTGAATTGGAAGAAGACCGTCCTCATGAGGCTTCCGAACCGTGGCTTCTCTGTGACCCGTCAGGGAAAGTGTTAGCAGTTGTGGAACTGGCCGCGTACCTTGGAGGGCTTCTCAACACAACTTGCACTGCGAAGCCCGAGTTCACCTGGAGACTGCGGGGGGCCAGGGGAGTGTTCCAATCTCCGATCGCGGTGCCGAATCTGTTGTGCAACTTGGGATTTGCGTGGGCCTTCCAGGCGGACAAGGACAGGCGAAGTGCTTTCCACGTGCAACCTCTCAGAAGCATAGGTCGCACCCCGTGCGCCTATGTCTCAAGAGTTCCGAACCGCAGCGTGTTGGAGCGGACCGGGGAGCACGATCAGAGTAAGGACTTGCTTGAACGCCAGAAGAAGCTCTACAATGATATCGCCGCTCTTCCTGGCGAGCACACTGCGCAGGCTCACGCGCAAAGCAAATTTGAAGCTGTCTTGAATATGGGGCGAGAGCCGTTCACGCTGGCGGCCTACGCAGCAATGAGCTCCGTGCGTCTACGCAGCGCAACCTTGAGGAAGGCGTGAACTTCATGGGGCGCGAGTTTCCCTGTGCCGGTGCGCCGTTTAGGCGCCAGGCTTCTTGCTTGCTTGCTCCAAGTTCTTTCCACCCTTTTGCCTGCCTCCTGCCTGCGTGCCTCCTACTGCGTAGCAGCGGAGGCCAATGTCGCAAGTGTTGACACCGTCGCGAGCTCCTGGGAGACGCAGCGGAGCAGAGGGACACGCACATCCTTTCGGGACCTCGCGGTTCCCTGTTGGGCTGCCAACTGCGCAATTGCGGCCACCGTCGTGGTTTCTCTGGAGGTGCAGCAGGGGGGAAAGATACGCACATGCAGACAATACCTCGAGGCTCCCTGTGTGGTTGCCAACTGTGCAACTGCCGCCACTTACGTGGGAGGCGCAGCGGTGCACAGGGACACACGCACCCATCGAGACCTCGCGCTCCCTGCTGGCTTCTCAGTTGTAGGGCAGATCGGTTGTATCCAACACCATCCAAGCAGTGTTTGCAATGATGGGTCCAGTGGTGTACACTCGTTTGCGTTCAGAGAGGATATGTGAACCGTGTGAGACCCCGAAAGACACCAGACTTAGAGACTCCTTTCCTTTGTTGCCCATCAAGAGCGGTGGCGCCCGCTCCCACGCTCTCTTTCCCTCTCTTTTTCTCTCTATCTCTCCCCTCCTTGTCGTCGCCGTGCCCCCCATCATCCCAAGCAGCATTGGCTCAAACCAAGCGTTTCGGTTATCCTCCGCTCAGCCAGAGGCGCATGGAGTGCCGTGAGCCGGTTGCGAGCCCCGGCGACGCTGCTGGTAAGGTTCGCGCGATTCCAGCGGCATTCGGCGATTGCGCGCACCACGCGGCATTCTGGCGCCAAACGAGCTGCACGCCGTGCAAGCGATGGCGCGACTGCGCTGCCCCGCACGCGGCGACGGCTGGGCCTCCGCTCCTCCTGCGGCACGAGCTCGAGGTGGACTCAATTGAGCTGTGCCGCCTGACTGCGGAGGGCACACGCGACCAGAGGCACTTCAAGCTCGCGCTCATCGCCGCGACAGGGCCGCAGGAGTGCGCCCTGGAGCGTGCCATGCAGATGCTCCTCGCGCTGCCACGCTTCGTGGCGCTGCCGCCGGCCGACCGCTACCGCGATAGGTCCTCGGGGACGGGCTGGCGCGAGCAGGCCGTCCCTGCCAGGAGCTGGATGTCCGACGCGATCGCGGCGGCGGTTCTTCGGAGAGAGCTTACCTGGGCTCCAATGGCGAGCTTGACGAGGGATTACCCGCATTGTGCGTGGACGGAGTCGCCTGCTGGCGTGCTCTGTGGGGGGTAGCACGGTGCGCGGCTGTTAACGGCGCGTCGTTTTCGAGGACATGTGCGACGCTCCGCCAGGACAGCATCCGTGGCACGGAGTTGTGGTGCTTCAGGGTGATGGGTCCGTCCACAGCACTGGAAGTGTGTGGCCTGTCCACAGTCTCCATGGAAGACTTTGAGAAGCGATTGATGGGCTGAGGCAAGGGAGAAGTCCTTGAAGGCCGCGAGCGGCTGGGAAGAGAGAGGGAGGGAAGAGGAGGAAGGTCGATGACGTGGATGAATTGCGGGCGGGGGCCAGCCGGGAGTTCACAGAGGCACCCAGTGCAGAGCAGTGTACATAACAGTAATGAGTCTCGATAGATCTTCATCACTCACTTCATCGCCGCTCCTCCCCGTTCCCTCGCCATTTCCCCTCGCCGCTCCCTGGCAGGGGTACTACTTGGCCTGCTGCTGGGCCTGAGCACCTTGCGCGGGCCTCCGCCCGTGAGCCGAGGGGGTCGGGGCCACGTGCCCCCGAGGAGGAGGAGGAGGACGAGGACCAGTGCAAACCCAGGAGTCATAAACGCTGTTGGAACTCACCCTCCCTCCAAGCTCCCTCTTCATAGGCCCTTACAACGGTTCATTTCCATTGAGGGAACTGCCTCGTTGGAAGACAGCAGTTTGAAGATCCCGAAGCGTGCCGAAATATTGTTCTCGGGATTTGAACGCCGCGTATCAACCTGACTGTTGCGTCTTGGCGGTCCAGAATCGTACCAGAACGCCATTTCCTGGATTTCAACAGCGAATCAACACTACTGTTGCGCCCGCATAATCCTGAATCTTCTCAAAACGCAATTTCTGGCACGTTGGTTATGGGAATCCGTAACGAATGTGCGCGGCGATGAGGCGAGAGCCACATTCTGAAAAGGAACCGCTTTCAATATGTGAAACTCTTGCAAAATGTTAAAAACGAATGCGCGCGGCGTTAAGGCGATAACTATAATTCCCTACCTAGGCTCTGCCTAGAAGGGTTCTTACTCGGTATGCTTAAAGGGCCGGGCAGTGCAACTCGCCCCGGGCGGTTCCCCCAGTATCTGGCTCGCGTTTCCCCCAGTTGCGCCCCCTGGGTTCACCCAGCTTAGCCTAGCCTAGCTTAGCTTTGCTCATCTTAGCATAGCTCAGCTTAGCTTAGCTCATCTCATCTTAGCTTAGCTTCGCCTCGCCTAGCTTAGCTTAGCTTAGCTTGGCTTAGCTTAGCTTGGCTTAGCTTAGCCTAGCTTAGCTTAGCTTAGCTTAGCTTAGCATAGTTTAGCTTACCTTAGCTTAGCCTAGCGCAGCATAGCGCAGCGCAGCATTAGCACAGCATATCATAGATTAGGTTAGCCAAGCATAGCATAGCATAGCATGGCATAGCTAAGCATATCATAGCATAGCAGAGCATAGCACAGCATATCATAGCATATGCAGCAGACCATAGCACTGCTTAGCATAGCACAGCGCAGCATATCATAGCATAGCATAGCATAGTAGACCATATCATAGCATAACATAGCGCAGCATAGCATAGCATGGCATAGCATAGCGCAGTATAGCATATCATAGCATTGCCTAGCATAGCATAGCGCAGCGTAGCATAGCATAGCGCAGCATATCATAGCATAGCATAGCATAGCGCAGCATAGCATAGCATAGCATAGCCTAGCATAACACAGCGCAGCCGAGTGTATCCTAGCATAGCATAGCATATCATAGCGCAGCATAGCATAGCATAGCAAATCATAGCATAGCATAGCGCAGCATAGCATAGCGTAGCATAGCATAGCAGCAAAGCAACGCAACAGCAGCAGCAACAGCAACAGCAAAATCAAAAGCAAAGGCAAAAGCAAAGGCAAGAGCAACAGCAAAGGCAATGCAACGCAAAAGCAAAACCAATTCGAAATTGTAGATTTATATGTAGATGTAGGTGTAGGTGTAGTTGTGTATGTAGGTGTAGATGTAGATGTAGATGTAGGTGTAGGTGTAGATGTAGGTGTATATTCAGATGTGGATGTGAGTCTCGCTGTTGATGTTGATGTAGATGTAGATGCAGGTGTAGATGCAAATGTAGCTGTCGGTGTAGATGTAGATGTTGCTTTCCTAAATGCTCCAACTCCTAGGTAGGGTCGCACTGGGATAATTTGAAAACGACCCGCCCTCAATCCGTGAAACACTTGCAAATTATGTTAAGCTGATGCGCGCGGCGCTGAGACGATAACCACATTTGGGAAACCACCCGCCCTCAATCCGTGAAGCTCTTGTAATTGTTTAAGTAGATGTGCGCGGCGCTAAGGCGAAAGCCACAGTTTAGTTTGAAAAGGAACTGCCCTCAATCCGTGCAGCTCTTGTAATATTTTAAAACGAATGTGCGCGGCGCTAAGGCGACAGCCGTTTCTTGAAAACGACCCGCCCTCAATCCGTGAAACTCCTGCACATGTTTAAAGCGGATGTACGCGGCGCCCAGGCGAGAGCCACGTTTTGAAGAGGAGCCGTTTTCAATTTGAAAAGGAATCGTTTTCAATATATGACACTCTTGCAAATTTGAAAACGACTGCGCGCGGCGCCAAGGCGAGAGCCACATTTTGAAAACCACCCGCCCTCCATATGTGAAACGGCTGTCGTTGTTTAAGTTCCAGGGTCATAAATTGTGAGGAAGTCTCAGGCGAAACACCCGGCCCGCCTTGAAAATTGGCCTCGGGGTGCGACAGGGAGGAGTTATCTATAAGGAGAAGGAATGGAGGCAGGTCAAAGGCAGTGGATGAGGGGGGAGAATAGGGAGAAGGCTTAGGAGGAAGAGGGGGAGAAAGAGGAGGAGGATGACACGGAGGAAGAACAGCGGGCAGAGGAGGATGGCATGATAAGGAGGGGGAAGATGGGGCAGCCGAGCGGACTGGTCTCTGTCATGTTGCCAATGGGTAAATTTTTGGCGAATCTCCCAAGCCCTTCACAGCGACCGATTGCTTTGCATTGGACGGACTACAGCGTGAAAGGACAGACGGTCAGTCAGTGGTATTGCGGCACTGTACGAAACGTCTTCATACGGTAATTCGAGCCAACAGCTCAGCCCAGTTCCAGGCTTGAGCCAGCTAGGTTGTGCAGCATCGGATGCTGCAAATGCTGCGCGCGTACTGCGCTCATGAGTAACGTAAGGGAGCGTTCAGTGAGCGTCGGCGACGACGTCGATGGTAAGGTATGCCTCAAACGCGGAAATTGCAATTCCAGCGATCCCCCAATGGTTGCTGTAGTATCGGTATAGGAGTTGACAGTCGATGTGTCGAAATCCCGACGGCGTTTGTCAGCTTACTCCTGCAAGGCGGCAAACATCTAAGCTCCGGGCCAGGCGCGCAGACGCGCAATCACTAAAGCTGGTCTGCCCTAGCGACACTTCTGCGAGCTTCACCGCGCGGTGCGGGTGGGGTCCCGCGCGCCGTCAGGCGTCGACGGACTCAGGAGCATTCGGATTCGCGGCTGTTATTCGGCTTGAGGAAAACAATATACGCAAGCGACGCACTTTAGCGAGTCAAATTTACCCAGGCGCCCTACCACATCGTAGCGATGCCAGGCTTGTGGGCATCCTTCGTTCACAGCAGACACTGCATCTTCGCAAGGGTTCGCACCCTTAAGTTCAGTCACGCACATTACACGCTTCGCGGCATATGTAGGCCCTTTCTTTACTAGAATGCGAAATTGCGAATCGTTCATGTTATCCCGTCTTCAGATAAGCCAGCACGCTGCACGGATTGACACCGCGCGCTGTAACTCTTCGCAGCCTTGGCCCCGTTGACCTCGCGAAATCGGCAACAGTTTGGCGATGACTCCCAAATCGTGTGAGCCAAGCCAGCCTGCCGATCGCAGAGATGTTTCTTCTGGTACCGGCTGCATGCCGCGCCCAGCCTCGCAAGAGCACCCGACCATGCAGGTTGCCCTACACCTTCGCAAACGCGTCGTCATACAACTAAATTTGGAGATTGCTGTGATCATTCAGAAGTATCTGTACTCGGTCCTTCTCAGCGCCTGTCGCTAACATCCGATCGGCGCCACCCAAGCATACGACTACTACTACTACTTCTACTACTACTACTACTACTACTACTACTACGACTACTACTACTACTACTACTACTACTACGACTACTACTACTACTACTACTACTACGACTACTACGACTACTACGACTACTACTACTACTACTACTATTACTACTACTACTACTACTACCACTACTACTACTACTATTACTACTACTACTACTTCTACTACTACTACTACTAGTACGACTACTACTACTACTACTACTACTACTACTACTACTACTATGTGTGCGTCGCCCCCGAAGGGGCGACGCGCTCGCCGAGAGCTGTTCTCCGTGGTGGGCGCTTTCTGGCCGTACCGCCCGGGTAACGATGTGCTACTAGACGGATTTACCAGATGTTCGGGTCGGACGCACGCCTGCGAAGAGGGCACGTTGTATTATTATGTCCTTCTGCGTCCCCTCACGAAGAGGGCACGGAGGTGACTTTCCTTCCGGCGTTGTTGTTTGCCCCCCTGCCATTCCACATCAGAGTCTTGTTTCGCGGTTTGACCTCTTTCGGGATGGTCCGCATCAGTAGTTTACCATGCGTCTGAACGACTCCCCTCATTCCCCTCAAGGTCAGCCGCTTTCTTGGTTATCCGCTCCCCGTGCGGGGGGTCATCCGCGCGTTCTTTGTCCCCCTGCGGGGGGAGATCCGCACTGGCCACATCCGGTCTTGCCGCGGCTATGTGCTTGTCGCAGCGCCATTGGGAAAAATTGGCCCCAGAGGCTGCAAGGTCGTTGCTCGCCCAGGGAGGTGGCGCAAGTGGTGGATCGTCGCGTGGTCCTGAGCGCCGCCCTCCTTGGGTCGAGGCTTCTCTCTTCGTTGCATGATTCATCGCTGCGACCTCGCGCCCCTGGCAGTGGTTGTGTTCCCCACTCAGCCCCCTGGGGATGAATCCGCTCCCCGTGCGGTGGGTCGTCCGCGCGTTCTCCTCCCCCGTGCGAGGGGTGTTCCGCGCGCCCCACAGCCGGCCCGTCGCTGCTGTGTCCCTATTCCTGTCCTGTCCCTTCAATATCACGAGGCACAGCCTCCGCGTGCGTTGCCCTCTTGGCGGGCGTTCTGCCGCCCTTGGCCCCCCTGCCTTTGTGTTGTGCCTTCTTTTTCCCTCTCCCCACCCCATCGTTCCTCGGCTGGCTCCTCCCCCTCTTCGTGTCTTGCCTTCCCGTTTCCTTCCCCTTCGCTCCTTCTCCTCTTCGTGCCGTAGCCATTTTGGCTCAAGGCCCAAGCAGTTGATTCCCAAACGATGGAATCCATAATGGAAAGACAGGAAATCGCATGTGCACCCTCAGTCTGAAAAGCAGCGCCGTCGAGACAGGCGCAAAATGGTAGAGACGATATTTGATGACCTGGAGCGCTTGAATCAGAAGGTATCGCATCAAGAGAGCATATTTGAAGAGAGGTTCAA